CATTTGGCCGTTAATAAAATCTGGCTCAAATTTACTTGAATGTGTTTCAGTTTAATGTAAACATTCATGTGCCCCTAGGAATCATGCTGCTTGTGTATACTGAGAGCATCTTTGCTTTCTGTTAGCTGTATTCATAAATGCTTGGGATCTTGTATTCGTCGCCGCATTTATGCAGTATGAACGTGGCAAGCACGTACCCTAAAAGCAAGACAAATAATTAAAGTGTATCTTGTAAATATAATGATATTTATGACGACAGTATATGTGCTATTCTCGAACAGCAAAAAAACTTGAGCTTGCAGGTATAAATCAAGCCAAATCATGCTAATGCTGTCAACATATTTGCAGTGTAGGGGTAATATTTTAAGAAATTCAAATTTGTATCTACGCTTTCAAGTTTCTCTTTGAATTTTGTATGTAAAACTGGGAATTGAAAGAGATCCATAATGAAATAAACCATCCTACAGTTGATTAACCAGATCATTATTCATATTAGAAAAAAACGAGCGTCAAGCAATTTCCTTTTATAATCCAAAAACCAAATTGCCTTGCAAGCGTTTCTAGGATGACACCTTATTATCATTATGAGGAATTGCTTGGGAGAACATTTTCATTTGCTACGAAAGAGGAAATTGTATTTAACGCTTCACTTAGCGTAATTATATAATTCATTGTCAGGGTTATAGGTAACCCTATACTGTCGAAACTTATTCCACGCACTGGGAAAAAATTTAAATTTGAATTTAAAATAATATACTGAGAACGTGAACGTAAATTGACTATTTATAATATTTTATCTCGTACGCAACATATTTTCAATTTCGGTGTGTTGATAGGATACGGGGGTTGGTAGAGCACATGGAAAAGGAGATGAGTATATACTTCCGTCACATGTAGGACACGTCGATGCTGGGAAAAGGAAGCGAAGCACATCAGGAAATGTATTTCACGCAGTTCAGTAACGGCCAGATTAGGTTTTGAAACTCTTTAAGCCGAAAATTGGTTCAATTTGAAATCGGCATCTGCAATTCAATTTGCGCTATGTTTAGAGAACGTTCATAATTATTTTCTTTTGGTTGAAGATTTTCGGTGAAATTATAACCGCGTTGACTAGTTAAGTACTTGTTAAGTCTTCGCGGGGTGTTACAGTTAAGCACCCATCAAGCTTTCACGAACGCTAACATCCCAAAGCCTCCTAGTTATTCTTTAAATTTGGAATATAAATTGTTTGCTTCATAAAATTCAGATTGTCTACATTAAATAATTTGTTTAATTAATTTCATCGCTCATTCTTACGATTACTTAAGGGCGCCTGTAAAATAATTTACAGAGCATCCTAACATAATCAAGATTCATTTCTTTGTTCCCTGGTCGTGTTAATCCAAACGTTTCTAAATCCCTCGCAAATTATAATTTTACCTGTTATCCGTCAAAATTAAAATACAAGCTAAGCTACCCTAAGCAAGAAAAATAATTGCGCATTTTAATTCGTTCTCGACAATGAAAGTTCGACTTTGTCGCAAGCTGGAAACACATATGGCAGTGATTGATTCTGTCGACGAAGAAAAAAAGAAATTGCACTGCAATCAATCATAACGAAAGTTACACAAAGTGCTTTTTAATTGCTTCAAAGGTAACCCAGATTACTGATGAGCTTTTCTTTCCGCAGACATCAGTCCCTCATATGATAACCGAGATTGCTACGGCGACTACTACTTACAGAAATAATAAATTCATTATAAAGCATTTATCAAAGCACCTCCTCGCAAGAAAAGTTCACGTTATAGAAAACTAGACCTCAAAGACTGTGCTTTTCCTTGCAATCTCACTTCTAAGGTGCCTTTCTATTTCTGTGATAAAATTCATTTCGATGAATTCACCTTCTCAGGAATACTCGCCCTCAAAGTATTTGCCTTCGGAAGTTTCATTTATCTTAAGCTTCAAGTAATAATAATAATTTTTATTTCATTAGGTTTTCCAATAATTTACAAAAAAGATAAGAAAACAAAACATTTGTATTGTACACTTAATGAAATAAGGATTCAAGCTCAGACAACTGACTCAAAGCCAGAATACTGTTCTTCCGCATGAACCTGATTGTAAAATGTTGCAGTAGAGTTGTGATTTTAAAATAGAGAGATTTTCTTATTATTTACCAAGCAAAATAGGGCGTTTACAAAAGTACAGATACTATGTATGTATCACGGAAGCGTTAGAAATACTTTGGGTTTGATATGTTATATGCTGACTGTCAATTGTTACACATACTAATCGTCGATCAATAGCCGTTCTCTAATTTTTGATTTTAACGTATGACATGACATAGTGAGATCATTGATATGAAAATGATTTACCCATTTCGCAATGTTGTAGGAGAACGATCGTTTGAAAATTGACTTGTAGTGGCGGGGAATTGTAATAAGATCTTTCCTTCGAATATTTATATTATGGATATCGGTTCTAAATGTTACTTTGTTGGCAAGGTAAGGAGGAGTTTTATACTTTAAGATTTTATAATAAAAGCATGTCATATGTAGAACTCTTCTGTCAAACATTGTCAACCATTGAACTATTATTCGTTTATGGGATATATGCCTTCCTCGTCGCACACCAAACATCAAACGTAAGCAGGAGTTTTGAACCTTCTGCAGTCTTTTAATGTCAAACACGGTTAAGCAAGGAGCATATAATACATCACCGTAATTAAGATGCGATAGTACTAGTGACTCACATAAAATTTTCTTGAGGTTTTGTCCAAGAATGTGACGATGTCAGTAAATTAGCTTGAGAGCACTGTAACTCTTTTGCAGCATATGGGTTACGTAACTCGTGAATCTAAGTTTGTGATCTATAATGATACCCAAACTGTTTACTTTATCGGTAAAAGTTAACCTAGCACCACCCAATATTAACTGCAAATTATTCATAGCGTTAGTCCTATTGCGCTCGGAACCAAATACTATGGCCATTGATTTTTTAGGGTTTATTTGAAGGCCGTGATCATTTGATATTGAAAGCAAACTTTCCAGATCTTCATTAATAAATGTGTTTACATCTGCCATTTGATTAGGAGAAAAAGAAGTCAGTAGTTGCGTGTCGTCAGCAAAAAAGTGACTTTTGCAAAAACGAATTACCTTATGAAACTGGGAGGTATAAACTGTGTAAAGCAGCGGCCCTAATATAGATCCTTGTGGAACTCCTCTAGTAAGTGCCAGGGATTGTGATGTTTTTCCGTCTATAAATACCCTTTGACTTCTATCTGATGTAAATGATTCTAGAAGCAGCCGATCTAAACCCGTCTACAGCAGCCATAATGTCATCAGTAATATCAGCTAGGGTTGTAATACAGCTGTATCCTTTTCTAAACCCCGATTGAGTTGGGAGTATAATCTCCTGCTTATCAAGATATGCTCTTATTTGCAATTCCATTATCTTTTCCAAAACTTTCGACATGACCGGCAAGATACTAATACACCGTAGATGGCTATATTCTGTCGGCGAATTGATTTTTGGCAAGGGAATAACTTTTGCTTGTTTCCATTCACGAGGAAAGTATGAATTTTGCAAACATTCATTAACTATATGTGTTATATATTTGATAATATAAGGACAGCAATATAAAAGCCCACTTCTCCTTAACTGTACTATTCTCTAACTTATGTTTAAGGTAGGCTCTCCTTTCATTTCTGATGGCATTTGTAGTGAAATTTCTTAATTGCTTATAGTACTCCCATTTCCCCGATGTTTTACATTTTTTGTAACTATTAAACGCTTTATCCCTTAGTTTCTGCATCAATTTAATATTTGGTGTGATCCAGGGTGAAATTTTGGTACAACCCTGCCGTCTTTTTAAAGGTGCATGATAATTAAACCAGGAGAGAATTTGTTGATTTAAAAGTGAAACTTTATCGTCAATATTTTGAATCACAAAAATTGAATCTAATTGTAATTTAGCGTCCTCCATATGTTTTTGAAATTGTTGTTTGTCAATATTGTGAAGCTGACGAAATGAAACAATATTGGGGGTTTCTGCTACAGGCTGGTCTACCTGTAATTCACAGAAGATTAAAAAATGGTCTGATATGTCGATATCAACAGTTCCAGAATTAACTACAGGATTGTCTAGGTTCAGGAATAACAAATCTATTAAGGTCGCCGAATCGCTAGTAACCCGCGTTGGTACGTTAATAATCTGTTTTAAATTAAAAATTTCATGTATTGCAATTAAATTATCTGCATTTGTATTGAATTTAAATAAGTCAATATTATAATCACCTACACATATAACATTACCTTCTTGTGGATATATATCCGCTAAAGTATCCTCTATGGTTGATAGGAACGATTGCATCTCAGAGTTAGGGGGTCTGTAAATGTATGTAAAAAATGTTATAGCGTCAGTATGAACGTTACCATTTAGCCATGTTTCTGTGACGCCTATTACGTCATACGAAAATGGTAAAATCCTTTCCGAAAAAGTCTGAAAATTATTAAGGAGCGATCTGACATTAATATGCGCAACACTAAATGTCATTATAACAATTTGCGTTGCTCAGAAAAAAAATTGAAAGTTAATTAATAATGCTTTATATTTCAAAGTTTCCATGATATGTGAATCTGTAGTATTGCCTATATTCTCATATTAACAAAAATATCAAACCGATGGGTAACAAATAGAAATTCTCTCTTGATAAGATTATACTTAGGTAGGTATGTATAATAAAATTACAAAAAAGAAAAATACGGAAATTCCAAAAAAAAATTATCTAACAGAATGTGTACAAACAAATATAGTAATTCAAGTGGTTTTAATAATTGAAATGTAGAAACCCCTGCTGCTTGCGTATTTATCAGTACGCGCTTCGACATCAATAACTATAACTAAAACGTAATAAATAAACTGTGTTCATTCTTAAATAAAAACAAAAAAATCATTGTAATGCTATCACCTATTAATAATTAAGAACTGGGAACGAATCCTCACTACTAGAAAAGCACGTTCAATCCAGACCGATATCATTTAAGTACAGTAGCGCCTTAGTTTTATAACTCATGAATTTGATGATGACGGGACGTGGTTTATTGTTAATTTTCTTGCCAATGCGGTGACAGCGCTCAATTTCGTTCGGCATAAGGACAATGGACATTCTATCTTTTGTAACAGATAGAAACTTATCTTCAACATTCTCACCTGAAGTTTCGGGAATACCAAAAACGCGGATATTATTCCTTCTCGAATACTGCTTTAATTCGTCCAATTCAGTAGCTAGCTTTACATTTTCTTTCTTCAGATTATTCAACCGGCCCTCCGTTTGTATTTTGAAATCCTCCAACTTTTTCTCAATGGACATTGCAACTTTAGCGGCCAATTTGTCCATAAAATCCCGGTCTTCTAGCAACGCTGTAATCGATTCTTTTATAATTGTGCTGATCTCCATTTTTTGTTCCCTA